CTTGGGCTCTTATTAGTATAGTAGATAATCGACAATTTATATCCTACACCACGGCGTGTTGCACTATGTGCCCAGATGCAAAACGACGTCGTTTTAATTTATTTTTTTTTGAAATTTCCCGTCCCAGTGAATGGCTGTAGTTTTTTCTTAAAAAAAAAAAATCCGTTGTTCAAGAATGTACATAATGTTATACTAGAATACACATAATTGTATACATGATTGTACATAATTATATAACAAAATATACATACTCTTTTTAAAAGATAATACACATAATCTAACATAATACATAATAAACATAAACTTTTAACATAATACACATCAACTCTTAACATAATACACACAAATTTTCTGATTCGGATGTACATAATTGTATAAAAAGAACATGATTGTATAAAAAATGTACATAACTATATGAACCAATACACATAACTGTATGAACAAATACACATAACTTTGTGAACAAATACACATAATCCCAGCAACTTCCTACCGCGCCTCCCAAAACGACCCCAAAACGACGTCGTTTTGGGAGGCGTGCGGCGCACAGTGCTATGTGCGCCGTGGTGTAGGGTATAACGATTGTAGATAATCACCATATGTAATTGATACTGCTAATTACTACGTAAGCAATAATTAAACAAACTCGAGACCAATTAAAGCAAGTAAATATCTTTATTGATCACGGTGAAGGCCCTAAGTACAATCTACTTGGTTGCTCTGAGTACCAACTGACTGCGGTCGGGATTCTCTAACAACAACCTATAGATCGTCCAAAAGTCCCTCACACTGTAGCTACTGTGGGTATTTATAGCCGCTGCGCCGGGGACACAAATCAGGCCGTCCGGCATGCTCTCCACGTAGCCACCACGTGTCATCCTCCCGGGTGCCCTGTCTGTCGGCTGTGGAGCCGCCACGTGTATCTCTTCTGCTCCCTCACCTAAGGGCTACCGCTCGGTGGTCGACCTCCCCGACCGCCGCCTTCCATTTGACGAGGAAGTCGGTCAAGCTCTCCCCTTCAAGCTGCTTGGCCTTCTCTAGGTACATATAGGACTTCTTCACCACCTTGGAGGTGATGAATTTCCTCACGAACTTGATCGCTAGGGCATCAAAATTGTCAATCGAGCCCGACTGCAACGTTCGGAACCATTCCGCCGCTCGATCGGTAAGCGTGGAATAAAAAGCCCTACACATTACGGCGTCTGATACGCCCTTCAGCATCATATTATCGTAGAAGTCATTGACATGGACCTCAGGGTCCGTACGACCATCATAACTTTTCTCTTCGGAGACCTTTAAGTCGAGCGGGTAAGGCTGAGCCATCACTGCCGCTGTAAAAGGCGTCCGGAGTAAGGTTGATTGATCGACCGGGGGTGTTGCAGGGTGCGCGTTTCTGAATTGCGCAAACTCCGCCTGGAGGTTGTAGAGGAATCCTCGGGTCTCGTTGAGCTCGGCGGCTTGGGCTGCGTCCCGAGCGCGTCGTCGGCGATGAGATCTCGACCCGCTATGCCCGGATGAAGCCTCATGGCTGGCTTCCTGCATCTGCACGTCTTCCGGCTGGCGGTTCAGGTCTTGGGGCCCCAAACGTTGCCACATCTCCGGTCGAAAACGATCAAAAGCTGCCGCTCGGGCAACTTCTTCAGGGTCCTCCACTTGGGTGGGAACCTCGGCTGCTTGCTGGGCCTGCCGTGGTGCCTCCATCGCATCAGCACCCCCCGACCCCAACCGCGAACGAGCCGAGCGTCGAACCCGGGAAGCGGGCTGATGCTGCGGCTCTACTTGTGCGGTCGGGTAAACTGGAGGGGCGGTGGCTGGAGCCGTGTACGCAGGCGTGTATGGTGGATAGCCAACCGGGGGCGTGTAATACATCGGTTGGCCAGGCCAATACCCGTACGGCGGAGGTGGAACCGGCTATGGATACTGGCCGGGATACATCATCGGCTGTTGTGGATATGGCTGACCGGGTGTTGGGTACCCCGGTTGAATGTAGTTCACCGGCTGTTGGGCGGCTGGGTATGTGTTGGATGGATGTGGTGGTGAGAGATTGAGGTTGAGGTCCATCGTCTGACCTTGTTGTTGTGTTGCCTGGTGGTCGGATGAGCTCGCTGCATCCGCCTGGTCGTCGGCAAAGAGGTTTTGTGCCCACGGATACATTGTTGATGAAGGATCGGGTGCTCGTCAAGACGTTTGCTTTCTTGCACGGGTCCCCACAGACGGCGCCAAAATGATACTGCTAATTACTACGTAAGCAATAATTAAACAAACTCGAGACCAATTAAAGCAAGTAAATATCTTTATTGATCACGGTGAAGGCCTTAAGTACAATCTACTTGGTTGCTCTGAGTACCGACTGACTGCGGTCGGGATTCTCTAACAACAACCTATCGATCGTCCAAAAGTCCCTCACACTGTAGCTACTGTGGGTATTTATAGCCGCTGCGCCGGGGACACAAATCCGGCCGTCCGGCATGCTCTCCACGTAGCCACCACGTGTCATCCTCCCGGGTGCCCTGTCTGTCGGCGTGTGGAGCCGCCACGTGTATCTTGTCTGCTCCCTCACCTAAGGGCTACCGCTCGGTGGTCGACACTTCCGCTCGGGCAACTCCCGGTCGGGGTCCGACCAGGTTCTTCACAAGAAGCTCGACCTGTTACCTACAAAGACAAGGAGACAAAAAACAAAGGCACACCAACCGGGATAAAACTATGCCGGTCGGGATATTCCCTACCAATAATTATATTAGTATTAATCAACATTATAAAAATTACTGCCAATATTAAGTTTTCAAATATTTTTGGAAAAATGGTCAAATAGGCCTTCAAACTTTAGCTTAAAAGTCAATTAAGCCCCTAAACTTTTTAAAGGTTCAATTACACCCATCAACAATTCATTTAGGTGCAATGAAGCCCAAAAACAAGTTAATGACTTGCTATCACAGGTCATTAGGGTTCAGGCCACCTTCCGGCGAATTTTTCGACAAAAAAAAGGTGACCAGCAACCGACCCAGATTTGTCGAAAATTTCGCCAGTCACTTATTTTGTCGAAAATTTCGCCGTTCACTTTTTTTTTTTTTTTTTTTTTTTTTGCCGAAAAATTCACTTTGGGTCTGCTTGTTGGTTTTAACTGATAGAGCCCGATTAACATGACACTGGGTCAGAGGTCCCCGAGCTCCGTAACTTTTTTGTAGGTAAACAACCAAAAATCCTTCTTGACAACAATAAATGGGGTATTAATAGCTTAGCGAGAAAGCAGCTTCCGACCTATCGGCATGCCTGCCACGTGGAAGTCATGCACGGGTTCAGGTGGCGACCCTAGCAGTGAGAGCCGCGTGTCTTAAGATTCCTGACCAAATTGGAGGGGGATGTGGGGACTCAAGATTATCGGTCCGTCCTATGCAGATCGGGAAGAAGGAGAGTAAGCACTTCGTAGGAATATCCTCAATCAGAGCTCGGTAAACATTGTTGACCGGGAAGTGCATCCCAGTTGACCAGTTCAAGTCGGCCCGGGCGTAACTAGGCTCATAGGCCTCATACCGATCGTCGTATGGGCACGAAACTCGGAGAATAATCCTCATCAAACTTAATTATAATTTGATATATAATTCGATTGGCTATTTGATCCTTATTCCAAAAAAGTATTATATTATTTCATTTTAAATAACATAGTGGAAGATCTCTGCAACTCAAAGTGCGTTTGCACAGAAAAGCATACAACGTTTTAAGAAATGGATCCCCCTTTGCTTTTAAAAAGGAATAAAATCTTTTTAAAGTCTTTAATAGGAAAAAAAAAAAAAAAAAAAAAAAAAAAAAAAAAAAAAGAGAAGAAAAGTATGGGGTGCTTTTGTAAATTTAAAAAAGTTGAACCCCCTTGATGTCAACCAAATAATAAAGGACAGACGACGTGGGCCCCCCTACTTCCAGTGGGCTAAAGCCAAAAGGCCTTCAATCACTCACTAGTCACTATACAGAAAGAAAGAAAACAAATAAATATCGGTGGGCCCCATTGCCCCCTCCCCCCGTTTGGTGGGGCCCTTGAATTATTGCGATCTTGACGCTTGTTTATTGATGCCTGTGACACGTACCCTTCCCGGCGGGGAAGCGGAGTCGCCGGAATCTTTCTGATGAGTCAGATATCGGCGAACTGGGCCCCACTCCTTGGGATTGGGCCCCAATCATTGTACATGGACGTTTGCTACAATACATTGGACAGCGACAATTTACGTCTTATTAACAAAACCACCAAACCCACTTTACAAACCATTTTCTACAAATTTGTATTATGCCTTATAAGTATAATTCTTTAAAAAAAAATTATTAGTAAAAATTATAATTATTTAATAATCATTACAAAGTATAGGCATCAATCTACATCTTAAAAATGATAATAAAAAAAAAACATTGTAATGTTTGCTATTTACATTATTGTAAGACTAATTCGATTACGATTATAATAACAGTTTACTTACTAATTAAGTAATTAAAAATAAAAAATTTAAATTTCAAGGTCAACCCAAACAAACTGATCAATCATTTGACTCAATAACTACATAGTTTTAACTCGGAATCTCAATATGAGTTGTCTATTAACCATCTTGACTGACCAAGTTAACTATGAGAAATCTATGCTAATTTATCTCGTTTGTCATCTAGGATCACAAGGCTGATTTCACCCCTAATACATGTTCAAATAATGGTTACGAGCTTTCTCATAAATAAAAGAAATACAAACTTTGACTAAAGAATGTATGATATTGAAGATACACAATATGGGGATTTTATAAAAAGAAAATACATAATATTAATAAATTTATTTTTATTTTTTATAAAAAATAAATATAAAGAATAAAGAACGCGTAATATAAAAAGCATTGCATGATTGCTACTTGCCCATTATTAAAAAGGATTTTTCATTCATTTATTTATTTATTAAAAATGAGTTTCAATAATTTTACTTTTGGTTTTTTGTTTTTAGCTATCATGACTCTATAATTCCAAACCTAAACCATGGGCTGTTTCTAACAACTCCATCTTCTTCAATACTGTGTATAAAATCACCTCTGCAACTCTCTCCATTTTCCACTCCAAAAGAACTCAATTTTCTATCCCTTCAAACCAGAACAAAAATCCGCCATAGCTATGCTGGGCAAGAGATTAAACCCGGTGGCCGGAAAGATAGCCGGCGGGCCGACCAGCCCGAGAAGTCCTTTGGACCACAAGGTTCAGTCGCCGAGAGGGCTAAAAAGTTTCGATCTTGGAGGGGTTGGGCTGGCGATTGTTGCCGCCCTGGAAAAATCTTGTGAGAGAGGGGAGAGTGCGGGGAGAAAAGTGGTGTGTAGCCGGAATTCGCGGCGGTCGGTGCCGATTCCGGTGAGCTCCGGGAGGATTCCGGCGAGAATTGTGGGGAGTTTTAGAGGGAGCCTGGAGGAAGAAGAAGAAGAAGAAGAGTATACGGTGGTGACTTGCCGCGGCTCCGACAACAAACCGTACACTAGAGTCTACGGCGAAGTCCCGAGCTCCAGAAGCAACCGCCCGAGCGTTTTCACGATATCTCCGGCGAGGCTCGCCGATATTCCGGCGTGCCCGGATTCCGATTTCCTCAGCTCCTGCCATTTATGCCGTAAAAAACTCTCCGGCAAAGACATTTACATGTACAGGTACTTTTTCTTTAAAAAAAAAATTCAAAGAAACCTTAATTAACCTTAATCCAGTTTGGATTTCCGAGGATTTATCTGATCGTGCCATGAAACCTATTTTTGCAGGGGTGAAACGGCGTTTTGTAGCACGGAGTGTAGATATCGGCAGATAGTGATGGACGAGCACAAAGAGAAGTGCAGTTCTGAGATTTCTAGGTCCGCCGATATTTCAACCTCCCCTTATACAAACGGTCAGATGTTTTCAACCGGAATTCTGGCCATCTGAACCATAATAACTCGCCGGCGACGGCGACGGCAACGGCGCATAATAAATAAATATAAATCCTACTAAACTTAAACCTTAATCCCTGATTCCCAGTTAATCCAGTATGGGGATTATGGATTATATATAGTAGCGATGTATATATTCGATCTAGTGTATAAAGTATAACTCCGGAATATTACTTCTTTATACGGTACGCCTGAGAAACAACAACGTCAACGACGACGATCATCTCCCTCACGGGAACGAAATATTTTTGCCCGGATATAAAGATAAAGATCTCATCTTTATGCTCCTGTAATGAAAATTTTGAAGTCTTTTTTCTTCTTGCATAGATTCTTGATGCTTCATGAATAGAATATCAATCTCTCAAAAAATTTCCGACCATTATTTTTCCGACTGCCAAACTCTGCGGGCGCCACCATAATTGTCTTTCCCGAGAAAAAAACTGCATACTGTCTTCCCCGAATAAGGGTCAGACTCTGTGGGCGTCACAATAATGTTAAAAATAATAAAAATAATAAACAAAAAAAAAAAAATTAACCAAAGAATACTAAATAAGACATATAAAATGGAACTGAAGAAATACTAAAAATGCAAATATAAGTGTGATTTCTAACCAGTTTGTATGACAATTGGCTCATTTATGAGTAACCTATGTTAATTTATTTTATTGTAATTTCTTATCAGTTAAGATCACAAAGCAAAATTTATCTAACGCACGTTCTTAGATTGAAAAAAGAAAAAAGAAAAAAAGAAAGGTATATATGTCTTCATCAATCGAGATGAAGTCAACATTGCAAGGCTACATCTTTTTTCATAATTTATTGTTTTCTGTAAAAGATGAATGAAGTTGCAGTAAGGAAAGTCAAGCTAGGCAACACATTTCAGTGTTCATCAATACAGGAAATTCCATTTCACAGGTTGCATAATTTGTCATTCCCCGGAAGTTCATACAGTTCTGGAGATGTATATATAAGGGGACATATCACACTTAAAATTAGGAGGAAAAGGGGAAACAGCCTATGATTATGGGGCACCAGTTGTCTGGTACTTATTACTGATAGTACATTGGTGGTTGAGTTGTGGCGATGCCCGGATAACTGCCATCGTACATTGCCTGATGACTAGCGGCGCCAATTCGCTGGCCTTGGGGGTGCATGAGAGCTTGTGCGGCGCCCATTTTGCTCAATGCGAGTTGCATTTCGTAGGCTGCGAGATTGGCGGCCGAAACATTGGGTATCTGTGCTGCTGGCGGTGGCAGAGGGGCGGAACTGGTTCCGTGCATGGTCGGCTTGCTTCCCCACGAGCACTGCAAGCCCACAAAACGCATGTTCATAAATGAGAAAACTGGGAAATTATGAAACGTGTTCTTGTAAAAGATGAACGATTGTCTGCTCAAGTACCTTGACAGGTTTGCCAAAAAGAATTCGGGCATTCCCCAGTTGAATGGCCCGAGCTGCTTCAGCATGGGTGCTGTATCTTACAAATCCAAAGCCTTTGTCACGTTGAACACGGACATCTTCAATGACTCCAGCGCAAAGGGAATGAAAAAGACGGTGGAGATCAACAGAAGTAACCTGCATTATATTCATAACAAGAGTATCGAAAATGCAATATAAAATCCAAGAATAGCAAATATTTTATATTCCTCCCATTCCACTTCCTAGAGGCAAGATGAAGCAAAAGCAAATATTCAATTCATAACATGGCACAAGTGTATCTTTTTTTTTAGGTGTAACCACGAGGTGGTCTGGGTCTTTCTCTGTCCGTTTAACGGTCCAGGTCCATCCCCGTTAGCTCTGAGAGGCTGGGAGCTGGCCCGGGGGAATCGTCGCTTGTGGGAAGCTGGCCCGGGGGAATCGTCGCTTGTGGGAATCGAACCCGCGTTATCCCGAAATTCTCCCCCACAAAGAGAGCTCATTTACCATATGAGCTACCACCCCGGGTTATGGCACAAGTGTATCTAAATGCAATAAAATAAAATAAAAAAACCCCAAATAAATATAAGATAAGCAACAAGTTATGAAGTGAAATATTGAATTGCCAACTGGATGGCTAGATAGATGGTGTCTCAACAGCAAAGCCAAAAATATATAGGCGATTTGGTCCTCCAGCTAATAAAACTTTCTTATTTGATGTGTTCCAGTTCATGATAATAATTCTATAAAATAGACCACAATCAGAGAAATGAGAGCAATAGGTTCAGGAAATACTCACTTCAGGAGCAAGATTGCCAACATAAACGGTGGTATATTGGGGATTATTTTCAGGTGCATCTTCATTAGTCTTCTCCTGATTCTCATCTGCATAGTGATCACAAAAAGTTTGAGATGGACTAAACAGAAAGAAAGTGAAAGTCAATGATTCCACCTCATATGCAGTTCACATTTAATATATTCAAAAGAGAGATTGCTTTCTTTTCTAACTATAATTAGTCAATCATGACTATACATCAAAAGATGGTTGGCAATTAGTCTAAATCAAGAAACGTAAGCAACACATATAGATGTCAAAATCAGGAAACGGTCTAGTACAACAATCAGACTTGATGTGTTCAAGCTTTGGTGCTTCTCAATAAAACATTTTTAAAACCATAACCAAAATATTTCTTAGTGCACGGCGCAGTAGCATTATCAGATCATCTCTATGGTAGATAGCAAATGCTGATTTAGAACCAACCTGAAGTGCCATTTGTTATTTCCACAACACTTTTAGCATCTGAGACCTGCTTGTCGTCACTTGATCCAGCACCTTTTGTTGCCCAATTGCAACGAATTTGTCTGCTTCCAAGCCACCTTCCTGCCATTGTCAAAGAAGGATGAGATTGAGAGAGGCCCACATGGTGGATGGGGGGATCAACAGTACAGAAAAATGAAGAAGATGACATCTTCAATAGAAGGAAAATGATCCTCACCAGTTAAGTCATTTATTGCACCTTGTGCTTCCTGGGGAAAATGAAAATTAAGGTTACAACAGTAAATTTAAAATCAAACATAAAATATTACAGAAAATTGTATCGATGATGCATTAATACCTGCTGGTTGCGGAAAGAAACAAATCCAAACCCCCTAGAGCGTCCTGACTTCTGATCCCACATCACCCTTGCATCTCTGCATAAAGCAAAATGAACAGAGTGATTATAATGTCATTCCATGTCAACATGAGGAACTTAGGTTAGTCAGAACAATTATAAGAGGAGAACAAGACTTACGAGATACTAGGATAGACCGAAAAGCATGCATACAGGGTGGCATCTGTAACCTCCGGGCTAAGATCACCCACAAAAATGTTGAAGTGACCTACAATTAAGGACAAATAGAATGAGAAACTTTTATACCTTTGAAGAAAAAACAAAACAAAACAAAAAAAGAGACATAATAAAAGAAGAGGATTGAAGGAGGAGTTTAGTAAGTCCATACTTGAAGTGTCCTCTCTCTGAGCACTGGCATAAGCCCAGTTAACTTTTATAGGCTGCCCAAACCTGGAAATTAAAAAATTAGGCATAGAACCATCCATGTTGAAAAGCAATAATGTTTTTAGGATTAAATGTACTTACAACTGCCTTCCATTCAAGGACAAAATAGCAAGGGCAGCTGAGCTGCGATCAAAATAATCCACAAAACCATATGACGACTGCACATAAGAAAGTGCACTACCCCATTAATGTTATATCAACCATAGGTCATAATATAATCCATAAACAAGGCATTGTGATATCAATCAACAAAGTATTTGAAGAACTTGATCAAAAAAATTTATAGTATGGGTGAAACTACTTGAAAATGAAGACTGAATATGATCTACACCTAAGCAGCTAAGCCATTCTGAAACAAGTTGGTTGAACCACTCTATACCAACCAAGCCAACCATTTCCTTTCTTATAGTATACTTAAAAAGAAATAAGATCAGGAAATGATACTATGGGATAAAGTTGAACTTTCTTCCAGCACAAATTTTATTAACTCCACACTCTTGAAATGGGAGACTTCCCAAATGCAAATAGTATCTGCCATTCTGCCATTCTGCCATATGCATTGCTCTTTTCTTTTCTTTTTTTTTGTTGGGGAGGGGAGGTAAACTGAGGGATAGTACAATGATTATGCATGATTGATGCATTTAAAAACAGGTCATTCCTGTCTTGTAACAACATGAGGGGTCTACAATTTGTCAATAATAAAAAGAATGTAGCTAGAATAATAGAGCAAAACCTTCTCTTTTCTTATAAGCTTGCATCCTTCAAGGGGACCTGTACTTGAGAAAACCTCTTGAAGAAGAAGATCAGTGACTTGAGGGTGGATGTTTCCAACATAGCTGCATTAGGTAACATCACAACTTAAGATTTGACATTAAGGGATGAGAATGAGAGATTGCAAGTGATAAAATGGGGGAAATCTTAATCTGTATTTGACATACAAGTAACAGCAGGTAAATGCAAACCAAGTATGGCATGAAGGAATTACATTTGCTTCACACAACCCTAGATATTTATGCAATTATGTTGTGCACAATAAGCCAAAAAACCTATTGAAGCTGGACCAGTTATTGAATTCAAGGAAGCAGGGCCAAGGGGCAATCACAAGAAAAAAATAAATGGAAGAAAAAAAATTGATCAATCTAAAATATCAAAACAAAAATTTAAGGCACTCACACACTGCGGCAAGCACTTGTATCAAAGCCAGGGGGTAGATTTCCACTCAAGATGGGCTCTATCTGCAAATAGATTTTGATGTCACAAAATGAAAAAAATAAAAAAAAGAGGGGGAGGGGGAGAGAGAGGGGCCTAAAATATTCAACTCTGAGAGGCAACTCCTGGCCAGACTCCTTAATTATTAATGAGTCCAACTAGATATCTAAAACCATGATATCATAAATACAAATAAATCACACATAACAGACTAAAAGTATGATAACTAATAAAGCATTCATTAACTGGTTACTTAAATCAAGAGAACCATACCAGAAAGCATGAACCTTTGCAAGAAGGTGAAAGTTTGTAACAGACTAACAGGACCACAAGCATTAAGCATAACCATCATATGTACTAAAAGATAGCTTTCATATTGGGGAATCTTAGGCAGTATTGAAATACAAGATCATTTTCAATTGACAGTTCCCCTTACACTAAAAAATCAAAGATCAAAGATATTTAAAAAAGACACCATTGTTCATAACAATTTTAATATAAAGTCAAAAACTTTTAAGGGATAAATGATCCAAAGACCTCGGAAATAAATGAGTCTGTATAAGTGCCATACTTCTAACAAAAGAAGTTGTCTACATTCTAAGGTAAGTCAGAAACAAGATAAAAGGGGCACTTTACTTTCATCTTTATAGTACCCTTTTAATACCAACTAACAAACCTCACGTTTCTTGCCACTTAAACCTCCCAACCCAACTCTCTGTTTTTCCAATCCCAATACATTTCTCCTAAACAAATGCTTAACGAATGATGACCAAACATTTTCACATAAAAAATAAGCCCCCTTTTTTTTCAAAACACGGACCCCAGGTACAAGCAGAAAGTCAAGGAAACAAATAACATCAATTTCATGTCCAGAAATTAAATTCAAACAAAAAAAAAAAGTATAAAAATTACCGGCTGAGGAGCTAGAAGGCCCGGATGGTATAGAGATTGCTGCATCAATGCTTGTTGCTGTTTCAACCTTTGCTGCTGCATCTTCTGCTTCTTTATCTTCGGATATATATACACACACAGAGGTGTATCTAGAGGTAATTGTATATAGAGAGAGGGACAGATAAAACGATAGATTGAAGGTTAATTTTAGGGTTTGAAAAAAGGGGGGAAAACGGGAAGAAGAAACGAAAAATAATCAAAGTAAAAGAAAAAAAATAAAATAAAAAGGGAAAAATCGAAGAAAAAAAAAAGAAAAAGAAGAAAAGAAAAGAAAAGAAACCCTCGAAGGAGAGGGGAGAGCTACGAAGAGAATACAGATAACAGAGTATCGTTTCGATGTTGTACTGTCGCTAATCTCACCCGCTAAGCTTTTATAGCCATAAATATTTTAAATTATTTATATAGTTTGAGAAATTCAGTGAATCGGGCCGGTGAGTTCATACTATTTGGGCCTATATTGGTTTTGGGCCGAACTGATAGTTACAGTTAGAGAATTATTTAGAAACATTGTACATATTATATACTTTTTGTTTAATTTGCAAAAAATCTAGAGTGGTGTGATATTTAGAGTATCTTCAATAGTAATGATTTTTTGTAATTTTTGAGGTGTCAACTAAAAGAAAGGAGATGAAAAGAACAAAAAAAAAACATACCGCCTGACGCATAAAAAATAAACAAAAAAAACAAACAAAGCACAGGATGCGCCAGCCGGCGCGTGCAGTGGGCATTGAATGTGCACCCAACGCGCACAAAGGCAGTAGCCTTCTACTATCTCTCCTATGCGGGACCCACAAAAAAAATTAGTATTTGCAGAAGATATTTTTGAGAAAAGAATCATGTCTTCTATTAGTGTAAAAACTCAAGTTTAGTTTTTCTTCTTAAAAATTGTGAAGAACTCACTGTTGAAGATGCTCTTATATCATGGACCACGTCCGTTATGTGTATTGTGGATCTTGGTACAGATTATGAAATTGCCGTCATCATATTATATACATTTAATTAATTGAGTGTGTAACCGTCGCAATTAACATATTATATACCTTTAGTTTATTTACAAGTACATAATATATTAAATGGTTCACAAGGCATATGATGGACCTCGATTTATAATATAATTTGCAATATTGAAGGGGCGTGGGCTTATTAAAGGTTTGGTCGTTTGGAAAGGAGTTGGACTTATGTCAATGCTAAGGGGCCACTCTTGGATGTATGTGTAAATGTGTAATTAATCAAGTCAAAATAATAACGTGGGTGTTCAATCTTATGCTGTGGACTCGTGCTCATCGTGCATCATGGGCACGGTAATGATGCTGTCAGTGACATCGTTATTTTCTTTTTAAAAAAAATAAAAAAAATTCAGACCGCTTCGTTATAGGAGCATATATTCACAGCTCTGTGTTCATAATTTCATAACTGTACATTCATAATTCAATAACTGTAAATTCATAATTTTCGAAGCTCTATGTTCATAATGTCAGAGTTCTGTGTTCATAATTTCATAACCGTACATTCATAATTCCATAACTGTACATTCATAATTCCATACTGTATATTCATAATTCCATACTGTACATTCATAATTTTCGAAACTCTATATTCATAATTGTAAGTTCATAATTCCATAACTATACATTCATAATTCTATAACTGTACATTCATAATGTCATAACTGTACATTCATAATTTCATAACGAATACGCTGTTAACGCCGTTAACGGCCTTTCGAACAATTTTTTTTTTTTAGTTAGGACAGCGTCGTTTTCCCTGAAACGACGCCGTTTTAGAGGCGTGCGCACCTTGCAAGGTGCGCACGTGCGCATAACATAATTTGCCGTGGGTGTTACATGATGTTATATCTATACATCTACATCTACAAATACAAACCTAATAAGATCTAATAATGTTAAGCCTCTAACAGAAATTAAAAAAATATTAGTGAGTATATTCAATCATGACTTTCATAGAGTTTTAAAGACTTTTATGAATTTTAAAAGTTTGGAGGTATTCAATTTAAACTTTTATAGAGTATTTAAAAGTCAGGCGGTATTCAATCAAGATTTTTAAACAGTCTTTAAAAGTCATGTGGTATTCGATTAAGACTTTTAAAGAGTCTTTAAAAGTCATGTGATATTCAAAAAGTTATGAACTTTGGTAGACTTTTTAATTTTAGGACTTTTGTAGACTTTTCATTCTCAAATTTAAATAGTTGAAATCCAACCATTAACCCCAAGATTTCAAAATTTTCTTTCTAACAACTTTGAACATTTTCTCTCTCTATTTAAACTCTACTTTTTCTCCATATTTAAACTTTATAAACCTATCTAAATTTAATAAAATTATTTTTTTCTTCAGTATCCTATATTTTCCTCATACATACACTCTACCAATTTTTCTTTCTCTCATAAACTTTACAATCTCTCTCTAAAAATTCGAAATAATATTATTTTTACTTCATTATTGTTTGTTTATATTGATTTTTATTTTTCTATGAATTTTTTTATTGCTAACTTTCTCTAATTCTCCCTAAATACATGAACAAAGCAAAATTTTCATCATCAAATTTTAGTATATGTTTCATAATATTCATATAAATACTTATATATTTTGATTTTTATTCTTTTTGTTTATATTCGTAATATATATATATATATATATATATATATATATATATATATTTTAACAACCGGTTATTACGAATAGCGAACTACTGTTCGCAACAATAATTTGGGGTTGCAAATAATAGCACCTTGTTGTTGTTCGCAGTTTCAAATTGCTATTGCAAATAATAGTTCTTTGCGTGATGCCTAGCAATATATAAAGTATAATTTTTTATATATATTATTAATATTAGATTTTTATTTTTCTATTTTATGCAACTTGTAATTATATTTTTAAATATTTTATTTGATCAATTCTTTTATTATAAATTTTATTGTTCAATATTGTTATTGATACTGCTAATTACACGTAAGCAATATATAACAACACGAGATCAATTAAAGCAAGTAAATATCTTTATTGATCACGGTAAAGGCCCTAAGTACAATCTACTTGGTTGCTCTGAGTACCGACTGACTGCGGTCGGGATTCTCTAACAACAACCTATCGATCGTCCAAAAGTCCCTTACACTGTAGCTACTGTGGGTATTTATAGTCGCTATGCCGGGGACAGGATTCCAGCCGTTCGGCATGCCCTCCACGTAGCCACCACGTGTCGCCCTCCCGGGTGCCCTGTCTGTCGTCGTAGAGAATCGCCACGTGTCTTTCGTCAGCTCCCTCGCCAAAGGGCTACCACTCGGCAGTCGACACCGTCGCTCGGGCAACTCCCGACCGGGTTCCTCTCAAGGAGCCCGACCTGTTACCTGCAAAGACAAAGAGAAACAGACAAAGGCTTCTCGGTCGTGGTGAAGCTATGTCGGTCGGGATATTCCCTACCAAGAGCCCCCCAGCCCGGGCCTTTTTGATCGTCCGGGAAAAATGGGCCGGGATGAAGAAACCCAACCGCCGGCCGCTAAACCGACCGGCCAGCTGTCATTCCCTTCTCCGCCACGTGTCGGCCACTGCCGGCCTCTGCGATTGCAACCGTCGCCTCGGAGTCAGCGCTAGTCGTGTCACGCAAGTGGGCGACTTTCCCGCCTAAATGCCCTCCTATAAATAGGCCCTTGGGGCCCCCATTTGAACTTTCCTCAATCTTCTGAAACAATCGGTACCCTCAGAGAGTCCCGAGCAGCAGATCAGCAGTCCGATCAAGCAAAGCAAAACTTCAGATCCTCTTCCAAGTTTCTTCACTCGGTAAGCTCCTAACCCTTCTCTTTTCTTTATGCTTCCATCTTAGGTAGAACTCCTAGGTCAACTAACTGTCCCGGACATTCTACGTCCTCTACTAACCCCGACCGACCTTTAAGTAGATCGAAATGACGGACTCTGACAGTCAGAACGCCTCGATCGCGGATTATGACGAAGAGGTCGAGCATCTCAGCGATGAGGAGGTGGACATCATGTCCTACTCCCCCGAAGCTACCTATCGACCGGCGCCAGCCCCCGAGCAGGCCGCCGCACAAGACACGTCGTCCAGCTCATCCGGGTCGTCGAGCTCTAGCTCAAGCGGATCGGGGAGCTCCGGCGAAGAAGAAGAAGAAGGAACCACATCGGGGAGACAAGGATCTCCGACCGAAGGCGTTAGGGAAACGCCCACCCGGGTGGTTGGGGACCACCCGAGTCCTGCTCCCGAGCCGGCCGAAGAAGACACGGCCGGGCCGGCCGCCCCAGCCGCAGCGGAGTTCGAATTCTTGAACAGCGAGAATGTCGAACAACAAATGAGTCAGTTAACCAAGGGCGAGGCGGCTAGGATTGCCGAAAGGCTCGTGGGTCGGGTAGAATTTGACACGAGCCGGCAGTTAGGGAATGTCATCGATCGGCATCGGGGCAAATGGATCGGGATGCATTACGACTCCCTGATGGCCCCGATCGCCATTCCCTTCACCCCCCTCCTGAATGCCTTCTTGGCCTATTACCGGGTCGTCCCGGCCCAGATCTGCCCCAATGCGCACCGGATCATCGCCTGCTTTCCGCAGATATGCGCTCGGCATGAAGCCGCCTGCACGATGGAGCTGTTCAACTTCATCTACCAGGTCAAAGTTCTCCCGGGCAACTATGGGGGCGGGTTCCTAATGCTGCAATCCCGAGCCGATATGTGCGCAATCAAAGGCTTGCCCGGGAACAACAGGGGGTGGAAGAACAGGATTTTCTCCCTCAAATACGACCCCTGGATCCTCCCGGTTGACCGCGCTTGGAGCACCCATTTTCGGAAACAAGTGGTGCCGGTCGAGACGCAAGCGCTCAGGGAGACGGTCAGCCGGATCTCAAGCGAGCTGCACGAATACACAATCTTCCGGGCGGCTGAAAGTCTCGAGGCGGCTAAACTCCCGCCCCCCACATACGAGCTACAGGAGAAATATCTGCCCGTGCCGATGGGCGTGACGGTCGCCAAACCATCGAGGCGAACGAAGAAAGGTTTTAACTCGAGCTAACCCTCCCGACTTATCTTTATGCCTCGATCACACTAACGATCTCTTTGTTTTGCAGCTATGGCAGACTTTGGTGATGAAGAGGCCCCCCTTCCCCCGCCCGCCAAGATCTCCCTTGGCGGCAAGAAGAAGACCAAGGCGAAGCCAGCCGGGGAGAAGGAGATCCCCTCGGCCCGACCATTAAGTACCTCGACCGTGACGACGGGCGAGGGCTTTATCGTCGAGCCCTCCGACGTCCTGGTCACCCGGGTGGAAGTCGCCCGGGGAAAGGAGAAGGTGCCCGAGCAGGGCGTGAAGGAGGTGGGCGGCATAAAACGCCGCCGTGAACA